GGAATGTTGCGGACACGTACATGCACAAGCAAACACGCACGTACACGCGCACGCACACGCACATGCACACACACATGCACATGCAAATGAACACGCAAACGCACATGCGCACGCGCACGCACACGCACACTGCACACACACACACATACACATTATGCATATGTATATATGTGTTTGTGTGTGTATGTGTGTCTATATACGTATATATATGTATATACATAAATATATATGTATAAGTATACATAATATATATGTATATGTATATACATACTATACATAATATATATAGATATATATGCATATATATATGCATATATATATGCATATATATATATATATATATATATATATATATATATATATATATATATATATATATATAACATACATATATATACATACAGACACACACACACACACACACACACACACACACACACACACACACACATATATATATATATATATATATATATATGTATATGTATATAAATATATATGTACACACACACATATATATATATATGTATATATATGTGTGTGTGTACATATATATGTACACACACACATATATATACATATATATATATACGTATTGTTGACGTACATAATAAATACACTCACACACACACACACACATTTATATATACATATATGTATATATATATATATATATATATATATATATATATATATATATATATATATATATATATATACACACATATATACACCTATATGTATATATAAATGTGTGTGTGTGTGTGTGTGAGTGTATTTATTATGTACGTCAACAATACGAAGCAAGACCGGATGGTACGCGTCACACCTCCGTCCCAGCAGCCGCCCTTCCCCTTAGACGGACGCAGGTGTCGCCCGGCTTTCTCTTTTCGCGCGGGAATAAACATCCGCCTCCGAAGGGAACCGCCGCATGAAAGGGGCGCGTGAATAGGACGAAGAGGGAGGAAGAGAGACGCGGCAGACAGGCCAAGCCACACAGGGTCCAGCTGCACCACCTCGACCTCCTCCTCCAGCCGGGGACACGGCGGGGGGGGGGGGGGCTCTTGGGGGTCTCCTATCTATCTTCAGTAATAAACTAGCAAGCTGAGACACCGCCCAAGATCATCTCACAGCTCGCCTAATATATATATATATATATATATATATATACGCATAGATATATATTATATATGTGTATATATGTATGCACACACACACACACCAATATATATATATATATATATATATATATATATATATATATATATATATATATATATATATGTATATGTATATGCATCTTTATATATACATATACAAATTCATATATACATTCATATATACATACATATATACATACATACATATGTATATAAATACATACATATATTGTATTATACATATACATATCATATACATCATATAAATATATATATATCATATATAGTATATATGTGTGTGTTATCGAACTGGAATAAAAATAAAAAATCCCCCCCCCCAAAAAAAAAAAAAAAAAAAAAAATCGAGCTTTCTTCCTTTTCTCTTCCTTTCACAAAGACCGAAAAAGAACAAGACACGGGAGAAGGTAGACACGATCTCCCCAGACCTGCCTTTGATTAACGACACCTTTACCCTTCCCCCCTTCCCCCCCAGCCCACACCTTCTCCCTCCACCCCTACCTCATCCTCTATCCCCATCCCCCCCTCCACCCTCCCCCCCACTCCTTCCACCCCCAACCCCCACCCCCCTACCCCCTCCTTCCACCTCCAACACCCACCCTCTATCCCCCCTTCCCCCCATCCCACCCACTCCCATCCCCCTACCCCCATTCCTTCCACCTCCCATCCCCCCTACCCTCTATCCCCCCTCCCCCTCCACCCCCCCAGGCTGACCAGATAAGCCAGCTCATCCGGTCACGTGATGGAGACAGAGTTAACCTGGGAACGAGGACTTATTGAAGACGAAGGTCGTAGGGTATCAAACGCATTGGCTTGAGGACGGGCGGTGGTGGTGGCGAAGGGGGGGTGGGGGTAAGGGTATGGGTGGAGGTGGAAGGGGGGTGGAAGTGGAAGTTGAAGTGGGGGTGTAGGTGGGAGTGGGGGTTGGGGTGGGAGTGGGAGTGGGGGTGGAGGTGGGGTGAAGTGGGGGTGGGGGTGGAGGTGGGGGTAGGAGTAGAAGTGGGGGTAAGGGTAGGAGTGGAGGTGGGGGTTGGGGATGGAGGTGGAGGTGGAAGTGGGGGTGGGAGGGGGAGGGGTTGCGATGTGGACTAGAGGGAGTGTTTATCTTAATGTTTGGGTGAGGAGATAGATTGGTTGATAGATAGATGGATGGATGAGAAGTTGGTACGTAAATAGATACATATGAATATAAAGTCATAGATATAGATATAAACACACAAATACATACACATATACTTATATATATGTATATATATACATATATATATATCCATATATCCATATGTACATATATATATATATATATATATATATATATATATATATATACATACATATATTAACAGCCATTCATTCCACTACCTCTCTTAATTCACTACTGAGAGGTTATATGGCAGTGCCACCCTTACCTGATTGGATGCCCTTCCTAATCAACCGCAGTTCGACGCGCTGACACCTATGCCACGGCGGTGACTTCCCCTACGACACCTGCGTTTGACTTCTCAAGGCGATATGTCGTTTTCTCGGGCTCGAGCAAGCAGTCAGAGCGCAAGCATTTTTACGACCGCCGCGATGGGGAATTGAACTCGGGACCATGAGGGTCGGAGTCCAGTGCTCTAACCACTAGACCATCGCGGCACAATATACACAATATACATATGCATATATCCATATATACACACACGGATACAGACATATTTATATATAGATATATATACATACATACATATATATATATATATATATATATATATATATATATATATATATAGAGAGAGAGAGAGAGAGAGAGAGAGAGAGAGAGAGATGTACACACACACACACACACACACACAGACACACACACACACACACACACACACACACACACACACACACATACACACACACACACACACACACACACACACACACATACACACACTCACACACACACATATATATATGTGTGTGTACACATACATGTATACATGTATGTGTGTATAATGCCAATTTTTCCTTTTCTGCGATGACATCTCCGCTGGGTATCTAATAAGTCATGTACGACACACACATCTAGCGCAGGGCTTCCCAATCTGGTGGCCAAGGCTCCCTAGGGCCGTGGAGCAACATGAAAACAATGACATCGAATAAACTTAATATCATCTCAACTACAGTACCTACATCTCTCACATAGTAATAAACAAGAATCTTTATAGAAAGTGTTCTTGTCCTATAACTACTCACACCATTACAATATTCATAACAATTCATAACTGGATCTGAAAAGACGACAGACAGGCACTGAACAGGGCCATGGAGCTTTATATATACTGGTCGGAGCCACGGAATAGGAAAGGTTAGGAGCCACTGACCTACACTATATTCCCTAAAGTGTCTTGTCTATTTCGCCGCAGAATCGCACACGTAACTTTGCACTACAGATATATACGGAGGAGTATGTATTGTGTGGTGAGCTGTAAGTGTCGTTACCGGTCTTTCAGCATTGGATGAATGGTTGTAGGTGTTAATGTCTGTTATTGTTATTATTGTTATTATTGTTATTGTTCTTGCTATTATCATAATTATCCTTATCCTTATCATTATTATTGTTATTATTATTATCATTATTATTGTTATTACAATTATCATGTTATTATTATTATCATTGTTGTTATTATTATGATTATTGTTATTATTATTATTATTATTATTATTATTATTATTATTATTATTATTATTATTATTTATATTATCATTAATAACATCATTATCATTATAATCATTATCATAATCATTAACATTATCATTATTCTTATCATCATTTTTGTTATCATTATTATTGTTATTATTATTATTATTATTATCATCATTATTATTATTACACACACACACACACACACACACACACACACACACACACACACACACACACACTACCCCCCCCTTACACACACACACACTACCTCCCCCTTACACACACACAACAAACGAGGCGAGACGAGGCGAGCGCGCAGGGTTAGTCCTCCCTCTGGCACCCTCGTCGACGTGGGTGGCAGTCGCGGTGCCAGCCAGCCAGCCTGCCAGCCTTCCTGTGCCAGTTACCTCCGTCTCGTCGTCGCAGCCTCTCTGTCGCCGCCCGCGCTGCCTTCTCTTGACTGGGAAATCTCGCCCGACTCCCCTCACGCCTGTGTCTCGTCCCTCCTCTCCCCTCCTCTCCCCTCGCGCGTCGGGAAGGGCCTCTGTAGGGAACGTATGAGGATGAAGGAGAAGGAGAGAGGGTGAGGAAGTAGGATTTATTTCAGGGGGGGCGGCTGGTTTAGTCGAAGGGTGTGTGTGTCTCATGACGGACGTACAGACACGTTTTTTTATGCATGGATGCGGATGGGTTGAGTTTGCTTGTCGACGAGGACTGGCGGTGGAATCAGAGGATGAATAGTCGGTAACAAGTCGTGGATTTGATCATTGCATATCGAGGAATTCATCGTTGCAAGTCGCGCATTTTTTCCATTGAAAACACTGAACACAAACGCACTGTTTGCCCAACCTGACCATACCCCCTCTCGTTGCTTTACAAATCACCTTACATCTCTCTAAAATACTTATAAAAAATCTTATAAGAAAGGTCACTACTTACGAAATAAATCGGTGATCAGGACCATCACCTGTGGCACAATTTCCCCCTTAATTATCACAGGTAGTGGAGGTGGGGGGGCGTCACTTAATCTCCGAGGAGACGACCACAAAGATAATGATCATTTAAGCGCAACCAGGTGTGAGAAAACGAGCTCCAGGTGATAAAGGCCTTTGATAAAGACGGACTTATTGAAAGATAAAGAACACACCTGTGCTGGGAATCATACGCCCCATTAATGTTTAAGTGCTGACTCGTGAAGTTTCTAATCGAAGTGAAAAAGAAATAATAAAAAGTGATTGTGAGGGTTACTTGAGGACGTATAAAGATCTCCGTTTCTTTAACTTAAGTTCCCATTTAATTATTTCTCCTTTGAAAAGAGGAAGAAATTAGTAACAAAGTGCACTGTTTTAATTTACGAAATTCGAACAGTGAAGTATGGTGATACAGAACATACGAAGGGAGGAAAACATCCCAGAAATGAGGCAATGTATCCGACACAGAAAGGGGAAAGAAGGACACCAGGCACGATCATGCATGTAACTCGCATAAAAGGGGACCAATAACTGGACGACAGACCGCCTACTTTTTCCACGAGAGAGAAAGAGAGAAAAATAATAGACATGGCCACGGAGGAATACCGGTGGGATAGATTCCTCTCCCTTCCCGAGGAGGAACGGAACCGAAGCGAGGAAGTCCTGTTCCTTTGTGATCCGGACGACAACCTGAGCGTGCCCGTGCACAAGCTCATGTTCGCCTGCGACCACTGCCTGGAGAGGGAGGAGGTCCTAGGGCTCTGGGGGCAGGGCGTGTGCGACCTCCCCCCGAGTCCCGTGTTCGATACCTCCATCTACGTCCTGTACATCTCCATCCTGGTGTTCGCGGTGCTGGGGAACTCCATGGTGGTTTACGTGGTGTGCTCCTCGGCCAAGATGCGCACCGTCACCAACTACTTCATCGCGAACCTCGCTGTGGGCGACCTGTTCATGGCCATCTTCTGCGTGCCCTTCTCCTTCATGAGTACCCTCATCCTTAAGTACTGGCCCTTCGGCGGCGAGCTGTGTGTGGCCGTCAACTACCTCCAGGCCGTGTCCGTGTTCGTGTCGGCCTATACCCTCGTGGCCATCAGCCTCGACCGCTACTTCGCCATCATCTACCCGCTGCGGCCTCGCATGACACGCTTCCAGGCCAAGGTCATCATCGCCGCCGTGTGGGTGCTCGCCCTGGCCACCACGCTCCCGGTCGCGATCTACTCCAAGCTGCTGGAGCCTCCCTTGAACTGGTACCGGTACTTCGGCCACCAGGTGTGCACGGAGGACTGGGGGGACAGCGACACCAACAAGGACTCCCGTACGGCCTACAGCGTGGCACTCATGCTCCTGCAGTATTCCCTCCCGCTGGCGGTCCTTATCTTCACGTACTCCAGGATCGCCGTCGTGGTCTGGGGCAAGAAGAACCTCGGGGAGACGCCGGCCAGGATGGACAGGATCGCCAGGAGTAAAAGGAAGGTAGGATGGCCGAGGCTCCTTCTCCACGAAACCCCTTCTCTTGCAGGAACGGAAAAGGCGACGGACAAAGGAAAAATATGTTTTTTTTTTTTTTTTTTTTTTTTGTTTTAAGATGTAAAAGACTAAAATACAATAAAGAAAACAAACAAACAAAAAAAATATATATATATATATACAGAAGGTCCTGTTCACACATGATGGCGATAATACAACAGACTAGTTTATAGACAAGAAAATATTAAACACTTTTTTTTTAATTACTTTTTTATATCTTTTTGCTCACAAGAATGCAATCACAAAAAATATATAATAAATAACAGTTACAACAAGAAAGTATAAGGATAATTTTCACTATGAAACCTATTCATACAACTTGTCATTCACAGCGAAATATAATAGTATCCGATAACCTTTGTTAAGGACTAAAACAAAATCATAATAGCAATAAATTAAAAGTAATGATCATATCACTAATAGACTTTATGATAAAGACAGTGGTAATGGATAAAACATAATACAACAAAAATGACAACAACTACTATTATTACTACTACTACTACATCCACTATAACTACTACTGATAGCATTCTACTACTAATACTTACATTACTACTACTACTAGTACTACTACTGCTACTATAACTAGTACCACTACTATTGATGATAACTATGATATTAATTGCAACATCAGCAACAAAATCATGATAATAATGGTAATGAAACAGTGATGACAATGTTTTAACAACAATATTAATTATAGTAATATAATACTGATAACAATATTTGCAATAAAAGGAATCATAACATACGAAAGGTAATAACAATAACAACAGGAATAACAAGAGTATAATGTTGATATAAGTATAATGGTTATGATATAATGTATAATGTATATAATACATAATGTATAACACTATAGGGATACTAAATACACCATAAGTATAATGATAATAACAATAACAATGATAAAACTAAGGATTATGATAGCATTGTTAAAAAAATGCTATAAAGATGAAAATAGACAATTATACTAATATCTATAATGCCATGGACAGTAATATTAATAATTATAATGAAAAAAGGATAACAATAATGAACAGTAATAAAACAAATCATAAAAGGAGTAATTATGATGAAGATGATAATAAAGGTAATAATGATGATAACAATAAGAACAACAGTGTATAGAGGAATAACATATTATGGCCGTTATAGCACCACTATCAATACAACTGTTTCTGTTACTGTTGCATCAATTCAAGTTAATGCTAGCAATAGTAATGATGATGATGATAATTATAGTGATATTGGTAACGATGATAATGATAATCATATTGTTAATGATAATTCGCATCGTGGTTATAGTGATAACAATAGCAATGATAATGATGATAATTATGATTAATAATCAATAATTAATAGTAATGATCATGATAATAATAATAATAATGAATAAAGAAAGTAATAATGATAAAGACACCTACAAGAACTACTACTATTATCAATATTATTACAACTACCATTTCTAATACAACTATTATTGCTACTCTCCTGTTGTCAGCTGCTGCTAATATTTCTACCGTCACGACCAATTCTGGTAAATGGTAAAACGCTCTTCCGTGTTGATAATATTGGTACATATATTACTACAACTAATACTATTACTACCAAAACAGCTACTAAGACTACTAGTATTACTGTTTCAACCGCTACTACTATTATATCAACTAGTACGAGTGTCTGTTTCTGTTACTACCCTTTTTACTACCAGTGATACTAGTTACTACAACTATCACCACTATTACTAACAATACTTTACTTTTTGGTTACTTGCAATGAGCTCTACTTCTGGTTATCAGTACTGTAAAATGATGCTTATATTAGTGATAGTGATCATGATAGTAATGATACCGAAATGTTGGAAATGATATTGTTGTTTGTAAAGTAACGTTGTGGCATTAATGGCAATGTTGTAACGACAGTATGATGACGTTAATTATGATCGTAAAACTATTAGAATTAAGATGATAAAATGATAATGATGATGATGATTATAATGATAATGAAATTGACAATAGTGATAATATAGATAATAATTATAATGAAGATGATTGTAACACTAATGTTAAAGTTAATGCTAATAATAGTAATGATGATGATGATAATAATCATATTGATGATGATAATGATAATAATCCTAATGATGCTGGTAACGAAGATAATGATAATCATATTGATAATGATAATTCGCATGGTGGTTATAGTGAAAACAATGGCAATGATAATAATAATAATAATAGTGAATGAATAAAGTGATAATGATAAATAGACACACACACACACACACACACACACACACACGCACACACACATACACACACACACACACACACACACACACACACACACATACACACACAGAGTAGCAGTAGTGATAGAAGTAAAAATGATAATAGCAAGAATGATAATTATAGTAATAATAGTAACAGAAATAATGATCACAATAATAAAGAATTAAAAAGAAGCAAAAAAATACGTAATTATGGTATGCACATTGGCAATGATAGCAGCAGTGATAACATTGGAAATGATAACAATGATAATAATTATGATATTAATGGCTATGATAGTAATAATGATGACAGTAATAATGATAATGAGAGTAGTAATAATTATGATAATGAAAATGATAGTAATGATAGTAATAACAATAATGATAATAATAATAATAATAATGATAATAATAATGATAATAATGATAATGGTAATGATATGATAATAGTAATAATAAATAAAGCACCACTACCACCAACAACCACAAACCACAACAGTAATTATGATAATAATGAAACTGCTACCACACTACTACTACTACTAATTCTACTACTATCACTACTAATACTATTGCTACTACTACTACTACTGCTACTAATACTACTCTTAATACTACTACTACTACTACTGCTAACAATCATAACATTAGTAAATCAATATTGAAAATAGAATTTATTATAATGATGCTTACCATATAACAATAGTGAAATACTGATAAGCACAAACATGGTAGTAATGATAACGGTAACAATAATAACGATATTAATAATCAAGGATAACAAAATGATAACTTTCAAGTCATCCTGATAAGGATAATTAATAGCAATGATACTTATAATGATAATGACAACAAGAATAATGATTACTTATTAAAAAAAAAAAAAAAAAAAAAAAAAAAACAAAAAAAACATAGCAAAATGATCGCAACGACTCTCGCTCTTTGGGGTGAAATCAGTCCAGTTTTAAAGCTCAGTTCAACCTTATGATCTTCATTACATCCCTCATTCACGGCGACACGGAGGTGAGAAACGTGCTTAAGAAAGAGCAGATAGACAGGCAGATAGATATGCAGATAGATAGACAGACAGACGGACAGGTAGATAGACAGATATGCAGATAGATAGACAGACAGACGGACAGGTAGATAGACAGATATGCAGATAGATAGACAGACAGACGGACAGGTAGATAGACAGATATGCAGATAGATAGACAGACAGACGGACAGGTAGATAGACAGATATGCAGATAGACAGGTAGACAGACGGACAGGTAGATAGACAGATATGCAGATAGACAGGTAGACAGACGGACAGGTAGATAGACAGATATGCAGATAGACAGGTAGACAGACGGACAGGTAGATAGACAGATATGCAGATAGATAGACAGACAGACGGACAGGTAGATAGACAGATATGCAGATAGATAGACAGACAGACGGACAGGTAGATAGACAGATATGCAGATAGACAGGTAGACAGACGGACAGGTAGATAGACAGATATGCAGATAGATAGACAGACAGACGGACAGGTAGATAGACAGATATGCAGATAGACAGGTAGACAGACGGACAGGTAGATAGACAGATATGCAGATAGACAGGTAGACAGACGGACAGGTAGATAGACAGATATGCAGATAGACAGGTAGACAGACGGACAGGTAGATAGACAGATATGCAGATAGATAGACAGACAGACGGACAGGTAGATAGACAGATATGCAGATAGACAGGTAGACAGACGGACAGGTAGATAGACAGATATGCAGATAGACAGGTAGACAGACGGACAGGTAGATAGACAGATATGCAGATAGACAGGTAGACAGACGGAGAGACATAGGTAGACGGACAGGCAGAGAGGCAGACACATAGATATGTTGATAGACAGCTAGACAGACGGACAGGTAGATAGACAGATATGCAGATAGACAGGTAGACAGACGGACAGGTAGATAGACAGATATGCAGATAGACAGGTAGACAGACGGAGAGACATAGGTAGACGGACAGGCAGAGAGGCAGACACATAGATATGTTGATAGACAGCTAGACAGACGGACAGGTAGATAGACAGATATGCAGATAGACAGGTAGACAGACGGACAGGTAGATAGACAGATATGCAGATAGACAGGTAGACAGACGGACAGGTAGATAGACAGATATGCAGATAGACAGGTAGACAGACGGACAGGCATAGGTAGACGGACAGGCAGAGAGGCAGACACATAGATATGTTGATAGACAGCTAGACAGACGGACAGGTAGATAGACAGATATGCAGATAGATAGACAGACAGACGGACAGGTAGATAGACAGATATGCAGATAGATAGACAGACAGACGGACAGGTAGATAGACAGATATGCAGATAGACAGGTAGACAGACGGACAGGTAGATAGACAGATATGCAGATAGATAGACAGACAGACGGACAGGTAGATAGACAGATATGCAGATAGACAGGTAGACAGACGGACAGGTAGATAGACAGATATGCAGATAGATAGACAGACAGACGGACAGGTAGATAGACAGATATGCAGATAGACAGGTAGACAGACGGACAGACAGACAAATAGATAGACTGATAGGCGGAGAGACATTCAGGCAATCAGACACACACACACACACATACAAACACAAACACAAAC